ACTAGGCCCTAACTGTAGCACAGCAATCTTAATATTTTTCCTTGATTGATTTTCTATCCCATTTCTTATAGCAACTGTTCTAAATCTTTGCTTCTCAAGCCACTTATGCGACACCACACTCCAACATTTTCTCTCTTAGCCAAAGACCTTGTCTTCTTTCCTGAATAAGCTGAGAGTATCTATTTCGAACTTCTCCCCATTCTGCATCCCAAGGGTACTTACTCTACACCATTCCTGTTCTCTTCCACATTCACTCTAGTACATGATTGGTAGCCTTTCTTGCCAGGACCAATCAGTCTACTGGAGTCTTCGAGCCTGTCTCTTCCAAAAGCCTGCTCTTTCAATTATCCCTCTTTTCTCTAATCTTCAATTTCTCTTTCTTCACTGGTTCCTTCTTTATTGCCAACAAACGTTAAATCTCCCTGGTCCTTCACTTGACTCAGCTCTCATTTCAAGCTATCATTCTATATCTCTCCTACTTTTCACAGCCAAACAGTTGTAGAAGCAGAAATTCTGATTCTTAGCAATAACAAAATAAGAGGCTTTAATCAATCACACTTCCACATTACCTTCTGATTTCCTTAAGAAGGAACCTGAGAGGCAGCAATTAGGATTTGTAGCCTCTAAGAGAATAAAGCTTAGAATTAGAAAAGCATGTTCTGTGAATTATGACACAAGTTTCTGCTCTATCCAGAAGATGCTGCCACTTTTCTCTCTTCATAATGTACTAGATTTTTTCCACAGTTCACAATTCGGCTATGGGGATTTACTACCAAAGGTGTAAATTAATGACTGCTTTAATAAAAAAACCCTCCCTATTTTGCTAGATTTATTAAGAAATCTATTGGTAAAACCTACTTTGTAAACAAATTCCATAAAATGAAGTTACATAAAATCATCCTCTTTGTACCATGTGAAAAAGTACCATGAAAAAAACATAAGAACTTTGGAGAACCCATAGATGACTCACTATGGGAGATGCATATTTTTATACAATCTACATATGAATTCATTTATGTAAGCTAAAATGAAGACAGTATTTATCTAATCCAAAAGCAATAACTTTAAAAAGGAGATAAGGCTATAACTTTACACAAATTTTACCTAATAGAAGACAAACATGAATGAGCATCAAATCACTAGTCAGAGAATTTAGGAGATAAAACTAAGATTGATTAGAAAAGTTATATAGAGTTTTCAATTTCTTTGGTAATAGTAATAGAATGAAATTAAGGAGAGGAAATACTTAGATTTTTAGTGATATGCAAATATGTAACAGTAATATAATTCAAAAGTGAAAAAGTAAATGATTTTCATTTCTACAATTAGTAAATTCTATTTGTTGGGAAACTTTTATTATATCATAGTAAGTAGATATTTAGCTATATTAAGCTGACCAGTCTTTTACATGAAATTAAAGGTCAATGATCTGTTTGGAAGATGAAACAAAATACCCTTACAGATTTATTTAAAATTTTAATACACTTTTCTTTAAAAGAGACTAAGAAGTGACCTTAAAGATTCTCCTGTCCAACTTTCCTTCTAATGAGTTCAGACTACACCTTGTATCAAAGAACAGCTAGGATTATTAGACACATTACTTATTACAATAAAAAGATTTGTTAGGGGCATCTAGGTGGCATAGTGGATAAAGCACTGGTCTTAGAGTCAGAGGGAACTGAGTTTAAATCCAGCCTCAGACACTTGACACTTACTAGCTCTGTCACCCTGGGGAAGTCACTTAAACCTGATTGACTCCCCCCAAAAAAAAGAAAGAAAGAAAGAAACACTTAATGAAAAAGCAAGCAACAAATTCGGAGTTTCAATCAGGATTTTTAAAAAGTATATTACATAACTACATTACAATTCCCTATTGATGGTGAAGTCTTACTGATATTCTTATTTAGAGATAGCATTGTGCTAATAGCATCAAAACCAGGAATACTGCAAAGTTTCCTAAATGGATTCATAATTGCTTAAGAGTTTAGCATAACTATGCACGTAAGAAAAACCAAGTGGTTACTGAACGTGTTCTATTAATACTATTAATGTGCAAGTAGATAACTCTTTGAGTTCATACCTTAGTACATGTATTTTGGACAGAAACAGCAGATGGACAATGAAGTGCACCCAGAGTTGACTGCTGAAGAGAGTGAGCTAAATTGTAACTGGGAAACAACATAGTGCTGCTAAGGATCCTAAACTCCTACTAAAAACAAATATCCATATTTTTAGTGCCAATATTTTTCAGTGATGCTCTATGCTTCAAATCATGGGATAGGACCATTTTCTTTTTTTAACTGTAAAAATTTTGATATATTTTTTCAAATTAGATGTAAAAACAATTAACTTCCATTTTTTAAAATTTTGAGTTCCAAATTCTCTGTCCCTCCCTCCCCTTCTCTTTCTGAGACAGCAAGCAGTTAGATATAGATTATACACATGCAGTCATGCAAAACATTTCTATATTAGCCATATTGCAAAAGAAAAAACAAAGAAAAAGAAAGCATTAAAATGTTTTGATCTCCATTCAGACTGATAGGACCATTTTCAAAAATTTCAGGTCACCCAAAGGAAAATGAAGTGTATGGTGAGCCCTAGGCTGCAGAATATAACTGATAACAAATTGTTCAGGAGAAGCAGTATGAAAGAAATTCTCAAAGAAATGTATTATTACTAAATGGAGTGAATCAATCATGGTTTTAGGGTAGATAACCATAGTGATATGATGTCAGGTCCTCTCCTTGGGGTAATGGAAGACCCCTCCTTGAAGGCTGACAGGAAGATATGGACAAGATTGGCACAAGATGAGAACTATAATCTTCATTACGAAGAGTACCCACAGTGTTGAGATCCCAGATCCATCACAATATCAAAATATTACTTATGCACATTTTAGCTACTGTATTCAATTATAAGTTCCTAGAGAGGGGGGCTAAATCCAATTTATTTTTGTTTTTCCCTTTTTGCCTAGGATATAATAAACTTGTATTTCTCTTTTTTTAGGGCACAAGTTAATTACAGCAATTCTGATCTATACAAATAATGTTTATATAATCTAAAAATAATCTTAATATTAATTTTCTAGAAACATACCTATCTTTCATTGTCTTTACTAGGAATTTCTTCTTGCTACTAATTTTTTTGTAGGAATACCTCTTTTTTTTTTTATCAAATGACTGTCTTTTTTCATTAATAGTCTCAGGTTTGCAGGCCGTATTCCCTCTCTTATTAATACTTTCCCTACTAGTTTTTCTGCTTGTACTCAAGGTCTTTGATTGAGTTTTCTTGCCTCTGAGATCTCTGATAATTTTAGCCTTTTTTTCATTATTCATTATTAAACTCCTTCCTCTATGATTGCATTTTTCTTGGGGGTTCAACCTCACAGCAGCCTCAGCCTCCTCTTATGCTGGGCAATTCACATTTTACCTGCTTCAGTCTCTGCCCCAAGTGACTTCTGGGAGAAATGAACTGGCCCAGCTAGATGCCAGTCCCCCTTCTCTCAGGCTTGGTGGAAGGTACCACACACACACATCCTGCTCCAGGTCCCTCTGTTCCCCAGTTCTCTCTGTTTGAGCTCTACTGTGGCACAAAGCATTGTCACACTGCACTCCCAGTCAGAGTAAGCTTCTGGCTTTTGGTTTTCCTTGACTGAGGTGGCTGGGGGCAGAGAGGAGGGGGAAGATGCAGGGGAATTCTGTTGAAAACCTGCAGGTTGGCTGATGCAGCCCTGAGAGGGTTTGGTGGCCAATGGGGGAAGGGTGCCAAATAAGCATATTAGAGGATAGAAATTAACCTTCTCTGCTGTTAGTTCATTAGGCTGTTACCTCACTAAGGCTCTTGATGTCTTAAATTGTGGAGAAATTGCTTTATATCTTGTGCCTGATTTCTATCACAGAGAGTTCTGACAGGTTGTGAGGATCAGAGAAAATGTCTTGTCCTCCATTTTGGTGGTCAGGTGACCTGGAAGTTAGCAGCTCATTTCATAACTCTACTTAGGAGCACAGGATTTTAAAGGTGGAAGGAATATTACTCTTCCTCTAGTACAATCTTCTCATTTTTTACAGATGGCCAAGCAGACCCAAGAAGCTAAGAGGTGTGTCTAAGGTCACATAGTTGAGGAGCAGCTGTTGTTGTTAAGTCATTCAGCCATGACTACAAGACCCCATGGACTTGTCCGTGGGGTTTTCTTGGAAAGATACTGGAGTGGTTTGCCATTTATTTCTCCAGTGTATCCCCATTTTAGATGAAGAACTGAGGCAAATAGAGGTTAAGTGACTCAGCCAGGATCACACAGATAGAAAGTGTCTAAAGTTACATTTGAACTCAGATCTTCCTGACTCCAGGCCTGGTGCTCTATCCACTGCACCACCTAGCTGCCCCTGGTACTGAACAGCAGTACTAGGATTCACTTCCAAGCCCTGACCCAATATCTAGTGCTTCTTTTGCTCCTCCATACTTTTTGTATTATGCAGAATCCTCATTTCTATGGAAAAAATCATGAAAAAGAAAAATCCTACAACTGTTTGTGAATTTGCATCCTCTATAATAATTATGCTAAAATCTTCCCTAAGTTTAGGATTTATTTCTGAAAGGTTACATAAAGGAAAGATAAACAATATATTTATGATAAGAAATAATTACAAGTAAGGCAAAATTCTTTTTTTCTTTTTCATTTTTAAAAAATAGTACATGAACTAGGAATGTATTCATTAAGGAAGAAAAGTAGTGGTAACTGTTTGGTATTAGTGTCCAGTATAAAGTAAGAATCTGGAGTTCATATGAAAAGGATAGTTTTCTAAATTTCTAATATGATTAGCTTTTAGATAATTTTATCTGAGCTTCTATTTATCTAACACACATGCTATGAATATTGCTAGGTGTTACAAAAGATTTTAAAATAAAATAAAATGTGTAACATTTGGTAATTAGTGGATACTGAATAGTTTGAATGATTCTGGGGAATGTGAAAAATCAAGAGAATGCAATAGAGAACGTACCATATACTCCTTGGTCCAGAAGTAATAGAAATTCATCCACAGCATTGCGCATCTCATATTCAGTAAGGTCCAATAATGAAACCACCTTGAAATCTAGCTGTCTTAACAAGTTGGTCAATTCATAGACATCCACCAAGGGAGCCTTAAGTTTAGGATGATTCCAATAATTCATATTCCCAATCAAAAGGGCTACTTTGTCTTTTGCTGTAAGAAAAAAAAAATGGATTGGTTTTAAAATTTAAGAGTTTTTCAACTCTTTGTAATATGTGGAAATATCAGAACCAGAAATTTCATTAAATGAATTGTAACAAATATTTAAATAGTAAGATTTCATTCTATATTATTTTTAGAACATGATGTTTTTGATTATTTTACATAGGAGAAAAATACACAGTCATTATCAAGATTTTTTTTTGAGAACTGGAATTAAAAGAAATACTTCTGAGAACCAGGAGAGTGATAAAAGTTTTAAGAGAGTCTAACACTGAAATGTAGTAATTTCCTTTGATATTAAACCAAATGTTTCCTGAATAAGTACCAAAAAAAGAATGTTAAGAATTTCAAATGTAGTTTAAGTAAGTAGAAGTATATGTAACTTTAATTTTTACAAAATGGCTATTTGATTTACAGGAAATATGTCAATGAATAGGAAGGATAGGAAGGTTATGAGTGAGAGTCAGAATAAAGGAAATGGTGAGAACAACAGGTCAAAAAAAGGATACAGAAACAGAACTGAGAGGGAATGAGTAAAGGATGAGGAAGTAAAGAGAAGTACTAAATGACATTTGGAAAGAACAGAAGACTCTGCCAAACTTTTTTCTTCCATTTGTACTCATGGATATAATATGATTATTTTTTAAACGTGCCCTCCAACACTAATAACCCATTGTACTTAGCACTTCCTCAACTGCTCTCCTTAACCACTCCCTTAATTTGCTATATCAGAGTGGGTACAGGGCCTAGCTCTGGTATGGCTGAATGGCACTCATACATAAACTGGGAAGATGTGTAACCTGGCTTTGAGTGAATCTCTGTCAATACATCTGTCTTTAAAGGAGAAAAAAATTCCTACCCATGCCAGAAAGAAGTCACAATCTGTTTTAGTTGTTGCACTAGGCCAAGGAAATCCTGAGTAGAAGAATTAAGAGAGTACTGGGCCATATCTAATGATGATAAATATGGTTAAAACCCTAAAAGACCACTCTGAATATAACCATGTTTAAATATACCCATGTTGTCCAGGGGTGAGAAAAATGCACAAAGGCAAGTGACTGGAATAGCAATAGGGAAAAGAAAGAATGAAGAATGGTAGTAGAGATTAATGAAAGGCAGTGGAGTGGAGGTAAAATATTAATAGCACGGGTAGCAGCAGGTTAAGTGGCAACAAGGAGCTGATGTACCACACTACTGGGCTGATAGCCTGACATGCCATCTTCCAGCACAGCTGCCAGGACCTGCTGAACCTATCATAGAGCATTACTAAGAAGTTTATTTATAATAATAAACAGTACACTTAGAAAACTGCCACAAGTGTCTTTAAAAAAAAATATGAGTTGATTAAGATATTGATTTGGTTTCTAATTTGAAAGCATCACATTCAGATGCTCTCACTAGTCAAGATGACTAATTTTACAGAAAATTTCAAAATTTTTCTTCCTGTTCCTAACACTGAAACTCTAAAGTCAAATGAATTGTGGAAAACCAAACAAACAACATAATACCTACAAGGCAAAGTGACCATATAAAGGGGAAAACTACTTTGCATTTAAAAGGCTTCAAACCTTTTTGTGATATTCTCAGACTTTAAACTGCTAGATGGTACAATGGATAGAGTAGGGCCTGGAGTGAAGAAGGCTTTTCCTGAGTTCAAATCTGGCCTCAGACACTTACTAGTTGTACAACCCTGGGCAAGCCACTAAATCCTGTTTGCTTCAGTTACCTCATCTGTAAAATGAGCTGGAGAAGGAAACAGCAAACTACTCCAGTATCTTTGCCAAGAAATTCGCATATGGGGTCATGAAGAGTTGGACCCTCAGAAGTAGAGAACCACAAGATTACCTAGGGAAGAGTGAACTGCCCCAAGTCAAGAAAAATAGCAAATTAAAGCTCTTCTGCTGTTTAGTATTGAGATTGGGCCTGTGAGGGGCTATTGCACTTCTAGCTTGAGTGAGAAGAAACCTTGTCTCCTCCTATCCCCCCTGCCCAAAAGCCTGAGTACTCAATTCTCGTCCTCTATACTTCAAAAAAGGTGATGTCCCATTCAGGTGTGGAATTTTATTAATAGAAAAGGACAGAATCAAGGACAGTTGTGAAACCCTGAAAAAGCATCCCCACAGAGAAGATACTCACAGTAAAGATAGCAAAATTCCTATATCTAATTTATATAAGATAGACATAAAGACCTGAAGATTGAAACTTGGGAAGCCCTATTATTTATAACTATTTAGTGACTATGACAGAAATGTAGATTTCGGTTTCTTATCATGAGATTGAGATGTATCATTTAACACAAGACACTCTGCCCTAGAGCAGTAGGTCTATCAAGACCGGACCTCCTATAGTATTTGAGAGGAATCCTTAGAGCTGGGTCACAGTAAGACCTCAGAGACTCTACTATACTATACTACACTACACTGTACTATATTTACTGCTTGGTGAAAAGCTTTGCTGTTGAGAAAAGCTGACTGGAAGGGAAAGATTCTTCTACCTTTATCTTTTCCCTCCAGTATAGTATAGTATACAACAGGGTTACTCCTAGGACCCTGAGCGTGAGTTGTAGCAACATGGCCACTCCCTCTGGGAACTCCTGACTTATGAGTGTGCAAGTTCAGGTTGGGTCAGTAAGCAAGCCAACCCAAAGGAAAACAGGAAGGAGGACTGGGTGCCATGGCATACTATCCCACAACTATATAGGTATTATCCCTTCTCAAGAGCAGGATGTAACTATCCTTTCTCTTACTTACATGCATCTTCTTTTTTTTTAATTAATTAAAAAAAAATTCAGCTCCGAATTCTCTCCCTTCTACCTGCCCTCACCTCACCCACTGAGAAAGCAAGAAAAACAAAACCCAATATAAATATGTATAGTCAAATACAACAAATTCCCATATTAGCCATGTCATAAAAAAAAGTTCCACTCTGCCCTTTGAGTCCATCACCTCTAACTGGAGGTGGTAGTATCCCATATGCATCTTCAATCTCTACCTATCCATTGATTGCTTCCCATTATACTTAAGTCTCCTCAATACTAACAAAAGTTTTCACTCATTCTACCCCATTGTATCACTGTCTCATCTCCTTCCTTTCACTGACAAATTCTATAAAAAGTAGACTACATATCTGAATGCAGATTGATGCAATGACTAGTCTTAAATTTGGAAAACTGATAATGACAGTGAAGCAATGGAAAACTATATAGTGGTGTGGAAAGCTATATAAACTTTAATCCCATTGATTTTTTAAAAATCTGTGTTCCTTAACTTTCTTTGTTACAAGAAAAGGTGGGGAGAAGCAGTTACTGGGAAGTGAAATGTTTTTAAAAGGCATCATTATATTTTCTATAATTTACATCTTCATTTCACAACCCTCTCTTTTCAATTTGCAATTTGACTTCTATGTCTCCAACTCTATTGAAACATTCTCTGAATGGTCATCAGTGATATCTTTTTTTTTCATCCTACCTCCTCAGTGACTTCTCTGCAGTATCAAACACTGCTGGTAACCTGTCAACTTCTAGATAATCTCACAGAATGAAAAAGTCAGAAGATATCTCAGACTTTTAGTGTAGACATTCTTAACCTGGCATCTCTGGATAGATTTCAGGGGAGTCTTAGAATGCGGTAATGGGGAAAAATTTTATCTCTATTTTCACTTATTTCTAACTGAAATTTAACATTTCTGACAGTTATTGAAAAATATTATTCTGAGAGGTCCAAATGCTTTATCCAGCTGCCAAAAGGGTTCATGATACACAAAATTTAAGAACCCCTGATCTAGTCTAACCCATACCTGAGCAGAAACCTCCTTTACAATGCCACAGAAAAATTGTCATGCACTATCTCATCCTATGGTTTCCAAAACACCACTCTTCTAGTTCCACATGTTTCCTAATCATTTCCTTCACTGACTCCTCTTCTCCTCAATCCCAAGGTTATGTCCTTGGCTTTCCCTCTTCCCAAGCAAACTCACCTATTCCCATAATTTCAATTGTTCTATGCAGATGCCTCCTAAATCTCTTTCTCTACCTTTGAGCATTCCCCTAAGTTACAGAACAGCACCTTTTTATAGTTTAGACATTTTGGACTATTCAGGACCCCTTTTGAGGTTTTCAAAAGATACAGGAGTGGTTTACCACTACCTTCTCCAGCTCATTTTACAGATGGGGAAATTGAGGCAAACAGATTAAGTGACTTGCCCAGGGTCACACAGATAGGAAGTATCTGAGGCTGCATTTGAACTCAGGTCTTCCTGACTCCAGGCCTGGTACTCTACCCACTGTGGCACCTAGTTGTCCCTCTTTATCCTTAGACACATATAATGTATTTCTCTCACTATTATATGTTAAGTCCATAATCTTATCCCTTAATAACAACATTCTATAGCATTTTGCTTTACTTCTTTTGGGCAATAGCTACACAGTCTAATTTTTTCTAGTAGCAAATTTGTTTTATCATTACAAAAACAGTTATGCAGGTTTTTTTGGTGCTAGTAGAATTCTGCATCTAATAAATCAGGCATATAGAAGGGGGCTGGTCAGTGCTAGAGACAATGTATCACTGAGACATACTAGTCAGGTTTAGAAATCTCAAGGGGAGTGGTATCAAAGCTAAAACTATGTTACATATGGCAAAACTTTGCCTCTATGATACAAAGGTGACATAGATAAAAATATTTCATTAGTATCCTAAATTAGGTTACATATAAAGCTTCTTTAAATACAAAATGAACCAACTGCTGGTCATAATTATCCTTACTATAGTAAAAGCAGCTGCCAAGTTTAAATGTTTTAAATATCTTTATTATTACTATGACATGCTCCTTTAAAAAAAAAAGGTTTTTTCAATTTATTGCATTATGTCCTGCATAGCCTTCTAAATGAGATCCACCATCACCCAAGAGAGTTCAGCCTAATGATCCACACAAGTGGGTAATTTTTTTTTTGTTCAAAGTATGACATGCAGCTAATATAAAGCTAATTTGTCATTATAATACCTTAGACTCAGAAGAAGAAGAGAATGAGTTGCGTTGTATTTGGGAAACTATGCAATGTTCTCAACAATCTCAAACTGAATCTTTAAACAGAAACTCATCTCCTTAATACTAGTATTATTCTGGTATTGTTACACATGAATCACGAAATAGCACATCTCTGAAGAGCCAAAACTGCAGGTGAGCCAAACGGCAATGGAGAGATATTATCGGCAATAGAGGTGACAGTATACTGCCAGTGATAAGTGTCACAAAACACATCATTCAGGAGATGTATGCCTGGAAAACGAGGGAGCCAATCATGCGGCAAGAATGAAAGGTAACAGATGGAGAGCTCAGCGGCTGAACTGGTATTCACATGATGTTAAAGACTGAGAAGGGAGCCTCCGGCATTCCGATTAGACACCTCCTTCCTATCCTCCCCCACTACCTCTCATCCCACCCAATGTAGAAGATTTATAGGAGGACAGAGATAAGACATGCACAGGCTCAGAAAGCAGAGATGAATTGTGATCTATTCTCCTGGAGGGAGAAACAATTAGATCATCGATCCATTAAAGGATTACTACCATAAAACAGAGGGCTAAATAACATATACATACAAATAAATATATGTACATATACGCATATGTATGTGTGAATACATATATACATGCATGCATACATGGGCATATACATGTGTATATATATACATAAATAAAAAAGCTCTACTCACCAAAAGGCCGATCAGTTGATTCATCTTTAATGCCTGTTAAAAAAAAACAACAAAAAGATAGTGATTACGAATTATAATTTTTCATAGTGCTGAAAAACATTACTTAGAAACAACTAATTTTTAGATACAGTCAATCCCCTGACTTATGACTATCTCATATAAATGAAGTGTCACATAATGCTACATTGGGAAGTGGGGTATCCCTCCTAGTAAATCAGTAATCATCGGCTGTGTTTGGGCAAGGGACTCCCTTAATGTCATGGGTACTGTCTATTTGCTTACTATTTATCACGCTTTACTTTCTTTACTCAGAGATATTCTTTTGCTTTTCTCCTCAGTAACTATGTATATTCCACCAAAATCTTCTAGGGAGATTTTGATGGTTGCCCTTCCTAAACTCCAAAGAACAGACTTACTAAATATTCATCTCTATCCCAAGCTTCATCTTCAATTCAGTTTTTAAGCAAGGGAAATGTAATGACTCTATAGCTTGAGTAACCTTATGGTTGGGCCCCCTCTGATCTTGTACCCTGCTTATGGCAACAAGTCTGTTGCCCCTGGGCCTGAATCCCTCCCTTGCTAATTTATCTATATGAAGGATTACAGTCCTATCCTGAACTCTAATACCAGCAGCTGGCTGCCTGAAACTTGCTACTGGACTTACCAGATAAGGACCCCTCTGACTTCCTGGACTAAAGCCTTTTAGCATTCTTCAAGATTTTCCTGATATACAGATAACCTCCATGAAATAATTTGTCTTCTACCAGCCCCTCCTATAGAGTTAGAGTTATAAGGGAGTTCAGAAGTAATCTAGTCCAATCCCCTCATTTTACAGGTGAGAAAAATGAGGCCAAGAAGTATTTAGTGGCTTGCCCAAGGCTACACAGGTACAACATACAGAGCTGGGATTCACATTTCGGTCTCATGACTCCAAATCTATGCTATTTCTACTATACCATGCTGTTATACTTGCATTCCCAATGTCAAGAGATGTTTACATTCCCCTACTAAAACACTTTCTAGTATACTTCTATGGCTCTGTAATGTCATCCATATGGATAATCCCTCCCTTGATGTAGATCATAACCCATCTCTGTCTTGCAGCCTATGCAACTAGTGTCCATGCCCTCCCATAAATCCTTAATTAGGAGTCAACCAAAAGTAGTAAGGGCTTTCCTCTACATCTCTTGAAACAACACATGGGGACTAAGGCATGATGGGGTATGCATGTTTTTTTAATCACTCAATTTCGCTAAAAGACTTCTCCATTTTTTTTCTGGTCATACTTGTATGATGATATTCTTGACCCTCTTCTCTTCACCCTCTATACAGGAGTTCTTATCCTGGAGTATACAGAACCTCCCCCTGGTCGGCCCTCCCCCACCAAAGACTCTCTAAATAGACTTCAGGAAGCCTGTGAATTTGAATGGGAAAAATTATATCTTTATTTTCACTAACTAAAATTTAGCATTTCACTAAATTAAAAAATAATTATAAGGAGCGGTTCACAGGCATGACCAGATTACCAAAGAAGTCCATGACACATACTTGGTGATCACATCAGATCCAATGGGTTAAAATATCATCTGTATTTAGATGCATCCCATATCTATCTATCCAGCTTTAATTCTCTCATGGGATAAAGCCCTATATAACCAACTGTCTTTTGGATATCTTGAGTTGTATGTCCCACAGGCATCTCAAAAACATGCCCAAAACAGAACACATCCAAAACCTACTTTAAAGGCTCCACTATCCTCCCATGCATGCAGATCCTGAACCTCCGTAGCATCCTGGACTCCTTACTCTCATTCACCCCAAATATCTAATCCATTGCCAAATCTTGTCATTTTTATATGCCACTCATATATACATCCCCTTTTTTCTACTCATACAGCCACAAGTCTAATTCAGCTCCTCATCTTATATCTTCTGGATGTGTATAATAGCTTCCTAATTGACCTTGCTGGCTAGTGTCTCTCCACTCCAATCGATTCTCCACCAACCTGCCAAGGTGATTCTTCTAAAGTGTAGGTCTGACCATGTCAACCTCCACTCAATGAACTCCAGTGGCCCTTTATTACCTCTAGGATCAAACACAAGCTCTATTTGGCATTTAAAGCTCTTAACAACCTACCCTTCCACTCATCTTATAATTTTCTCCTTTCTATTCACTCTGTCACACAGGCCTATTTCCTGTTTCCTCCTTGCACAGGACATTCCATTCTCCATTCTCTCTCTACACAAGCTGCCCCCTCCACCTTCTCCTTGGTTTATTCAACTTCCCTTCAAGAATCAGCTCAAACCCTATCTACTTCAGGAAATTTTTCCACATTCCTATATTTTTTTAAATTCAACTTTATGTTACATTAGTTCCAAATTCTCTTCCCTCTCCATGAAGAAGGCAAGAAAGACAAAGTCCATTATAAATAGAAAACAAAATATGCTTCAGTCCCCACTCTGAGTCCATTACTTCTCTATCTGGAGGTGAAAAGCATGTTAATTATGAGTTCTTTGGAATTGTGGATGGTCATTATGAAGATGAGAATTCCCAAGTCTTTCAGAGTTGATGTTCTTTACAGTATTATTGTTACTGCACAAACTGTCTCCTGGCTCTGCTCACTTGACTTCACATGAGTTCATACAAGTCTTCCCAGCTTTCCTGAAATGTTCTTAATTATTTCCTATGGCACCACAATAGTATTCCACGAGATGTATATAACATGATTTGTTTAGCCACTTCCTATTCTTTACTACTACAAAAAAAGCCGCTATAAATGTTTTTTGTACCTATAGGTCTTTCCCCTTTCTTTAATCTACTTGGGGCCACAGACCTAGTAGTGGCATTTCTGAGTCACAGAGTATACACAACTTAATAGCTATTTGGGCACAGTTCCAAATTGCTTTCTACAATGATTGGACTAGTTCATAGCTCCACCAACAGTTCATTAATGTACCTGGTTTTCCATATTCCCTGCATATTTCCTTTTTTGTCCTTTTTTGTTCCTTTTTTGTCATCTTAGCCAATTCAATAGGTGTGAGGTGATGCTTCAGAGTTGTTTTAATTTGCATTTCTCTAACAGCAATTTTATTTTCATATGGCCACTGATAACTTGCATTTCTTCCCTGAAAACTGTTTATTCATATCCTTTGCCCATTTATCAATTGGAGAATGTCTCATTCTTGGAAGTTTGCCTGTTTCCTATATATTTTAGAAATGAGTCCTTTATCAGAGAAATTTGCTACAAAATTTTCCCATGTCCTGACTTTTTTTCTAATTTTAGCTGCATGGGTTTTGTTAGAACAAAAACTTTTCAATATTACATAATCAAAATTATCCATTTTATATGCTGTAAACCATTCTATCTCTTGTTCATTCATAAACTTTTCCTCTAGTTCTGACAAGCACTTTTTTCCCAGCTCCACTAATTTGCTTACTTCACCCTTTATGTCTATTTTGAGCTTATCTTGGTATACAATGTATGTTGGCCTATGTCTAGTTTCTATCAGACTACATTTCAATTTTCCCAAGTTTTTGTCCAAGACCTGAGATCTTTGGGTTTATCAAACATCAGGTTACTGTACTCTTTGCTTCTGTGTATTGTGTAACTAACATATTCCACTGATTAACTTCTTACCCATTATAATTTTTTTTAACACAATTATGGCTTAGTGGTATAATTTGAGATCAGGTATTGCTAAGTATCATTTCTTTCTCGTTAAAAAAAATGGGTTCCTTCGCTATTCTTGAATTTTTGTTCTTCCAAATAAATCTTATTACTTTTTCCAGATCTATAATCTTTTGGTACTTTGGTATGACACAGAATGAGCAAATTAGTTTAGGCAGATTGTAATTTTTGTGATATTGACTTAGCCTACTCATGAGCAACTAATATTTTTCCAATTATTTATGTCTGCCTTAATATATGTAAAGAGTCTTGTTTATGTAGTCCCTGTGTGTCTTGGCAGGTAGACTCTCAAGTATTTTATACCATCTGCAGTTATTTTAAATTGAATTTCTCTATCTCTTCCTGCTGGATTTTGTTTGTAATATATAGAAATGTAGATAACTTGTGTCAGTTTATATCATATCCTGGAACTTTGCTGAAGTTGTTAACTATTCCAATTAGTTTTTCGTTGACTCTTTAGGGCTAAACCATCACATCATCTGTGAAAAATGATGGTTGTCTGTTCTTTGCCTAAGCTTATTACTTTAACTTTCTTCTGTCTTATTGCTATAGCTAGTATTTCTATAACAACAGTGAATAGTAATGGTGATAACGGTACATCCTTGCTTCACTCTTTATTTTACTGGAAAGGCTTCTAACATAACACCATTACAGACAATACTGGCTCCTGGTTTTAGATAGACACTACTTACCATTTTAAGGAGAGCTGTTTATTTCTATGCTTTTTAGTGTGTGTGTGTGTCTGTGTGTTAATTTTAAACAGGAATGTACATTGTACTTTATCAGCTTTTCTACATCTACTGAAATGTTTTTTGTTTTTCTTATTAATATAGCCAATTATCATTATAATTTTCCTAATATTAAACCAGCTCTGTACTCCTAGTTTAAATGCAGTCTGATAATGGGTTTTGATCTTTGTGATATATTGCTGTAATCTCCTTGCTAATATTTAAAATTCTTGCATCAATATTCATCAGAGAAACTGGTCTCATTTTCCTTCTATTTTGTCTCTTCTTGGTTTAGGCATCAAGATCATATTTGTGTCACTGAAGGAATGTGGTAGGACCCCATCCTTAAATATTTTTTCAAACAGTTTAGGTAGTATTGGAATTGATCTTTAAATGTCTGGTAGAATTTATTTGTAAATCCACCCAGTCCTAGGTTGCTTTTTTTTGGGGGGGGGGTAATACATTTATGGCTTGTTCAATTTCTATTTATTTATTTTTTTGTTTTGGTGAGGCAACTGGGGTTAAGTGATTTGCCCAGGGTCACACAGCTAGTAAGTGTCAATTGTCTGAGATCACATTTGAACTCAAGTCCTCCTGACTCCAAGGCTGGAGCTCT